GTCGATGTAGACACATTCTCTCGGTTATGCGAATATGCCTTATTCACGAAACTACACCACCCCGTCATTCTGCCTGATCAATTGCAGGTTTCCTTCCACAGAGGCCACAGAAATCGCGAAAACAAAACAGAACAAAACAGAACAAAACAAAACAAAACTCTATTCACTCAGGTGCTACCAAAAAAGATTTAAGGGAAAGAAAGGGAGGGAACCAGAAAGGATACAATGTACAGTACAACATAACCCCCCATATCCCGCAACTGGCATCCCTCACCTTGGAATACAAAAAGGTGCCGTGAAATAGTCGAGGGAAAAGGAAAGGAGGAAGGAAAGAAGGAAAGAAAGAATGAAAAGAAAGTAAAAATAAAAATAGGAATTAAAAAAAGGGGATACTTATACCCGTACCTCAAAAATATAAAACTAAGGCATCCGATGATTCATCCCTTCCCATTCTCCTTAATCGACGCTCTTCTCTCCCCTCTCCCATGTATTCATCTGACAAAGAAGAGAAGAAAGAATGAATGAATGAAAGAAAGAAGCAAGAAGATATGTAAGATATATATAATTACACGTTTCAGTTTTCACATTCCGAGCCCCCTGTCACAAACCCGACTAGCCATCCAGATCAACGATAGATATATATTCCATAAATTTGAGGCAAACAAACTAAGCTAGCATCCGCAGATTCAGGGGAACAGGAGAAATACAAAAAGCAAATGAAAAGAATGAAAGGATCATAAAAGTAGGGAGCAGAAAACTGGAAGAAATGTACCAGGGAGAGAGAACAGCCGACGTAAACATGTGGTGATGCAAAGATTGAAAGAGGATGGGTAGAGTAGATACAATTAGCGTGTTTTTATTGTACTTTATTTTGTATTTCCTCCTTTGAAGGTGATTGATTTGTCAAGATTGAATGTGGTTCGAAATAAATATCTTTATCCAAATTTTGGAGGTCATGATGTTTCCGATCAGATACGATAATCCCGGGTTGATCTGGGCTTAATCTAACGCTGGTTGGGTTTGGTAAAGAGGTCCAATTCCCCAGGAGTAATTTTACACCGTTCGGAGGGGATGGGAATGTTCAAACGTTTAACACCCGGCATCAAGCTTGGAGTGTGAGTTCATCAGGAGAGCCACGATAAGGCCGTACAGACCTGTATTAAATCACATATTGTTAGGACCACGAACAGGAGGTTTTTGAAAATGGCGTTGTGTGGAGGGTCAATGAATAGAGATTGACAAGGGTGGGGGGCTGTTGGACGAAGCAAGCAAGGAAGAAATGACAAACCCAACACTTCAGCGAAAATGAGAATCAAGATCATCGCGACGAAAAGTCGGCTTTGTTGAGCTGTTCCTCTGATACCCGCATCTCCAACAATTCCAATCGCAAAACTATACCAAAACATCATTAGTTGCAACTTCTGCTTCTAGCTTTGGTTTCAAGAGGGTTATCTTGATTCAGATTGGGGAAACATACCCAGCAGCCAAACCGGACAGCCCAACGGACAATCCAGCGCCCAGTTGAATGAATCCAGTAAAAAGCGAGATATGGGGTTTTAGATCATTGGCAATAAGCACTGCCACGACCAATCCGTAAATAGCAATGATACCAGCCATGACAATGGGAACGATGTCTGTTTGTAGCCGCAGGACAAGCATGAGTTAGCCACTTAAACATTTTGCATATATATATATATAAAGCATGTGAACGCAGTGCACATCGTGTCGCCGGGGGGTAGAATCTGCCGTTATATCTTCAACACCTGATATTGGCAGATAGCTCCTGCAAATTCTTCCTTCGGGAAGAGAACAACGAATTAATTTTCCACGCAAAGATATAGAAAACCTTACTTTTGACCATCAGGTCAGGTCGCAGGACGGAGGTCGCGCAGACACCAACACCGGATTTGGCAGTTCCATAGGCAGCACCAAGGCATGTGAAGACGATGGCGCAAGCGCAGCCTAAAACACCGAAAAACGGCTATACGGGTTTGATTTCGGGTCTACAATTAGCATCTTGCGGTGATATATTTGAGGGGCTCATGGCAGCAATGGGGAGCTGAGGATGTCTCAACAAAAACAGCGAATTTCGCTGGTTTCCCGCTGCGTCCTGCAAGATACATGGTGTGAAGATATAGAGGACAGATAGTTGACATACCGCGTAAACGGGACTAGAAGTGGAAATGGATAGGATTAGCATGATGGCCTACGGTAAGCAGGATACCTTAATTGCTGAGGCATCTCAAACCCAACACCCTTAGGTGTGCAGTATGCATCGATGAAGTGGACCGTGATAACACGACAGCTTACCAAAGATCTGAAGACATTTTGGGAGAGTGACTGTGAGTTTGGCGGAATGAGTTCTCCCGGGTATAGGTATATATGACGGGATCCGGATAGCAATGGTAGTCTCGCAGCAGAGCTTGGGGTGATGAGTTTCTTCGTGGGCTTGTAGGAGGTTTGGGTTGACGTTTGGAGCTGTGATGCTTCAATGTTCGTTTGGCTGGCCGGGGTTGCCGGGAAGGGATTAGCGCAATATCACGTGGTATACAGTCACATGATACTCTCCGTAGAGTGCTGTATTCGCGGGCTGGCTGTGTATAAGGATTGAATACGATGGATAGCTTATACAGGCGGGTAGTCATACTGTGAAACTAGAGATTATACGTGGAAATGCACTTGGGCGGTATATTCTATGATATCGCACACAAAAAGTCGACCTGACCATGCGCAACTCTACCCTGCGACTTGTTCATCCACACACCCAACGATGATTTTCGAGCCGGGAACATCGATTTTAGTCCCCTGCACCAGTGGCCCAGGGCAGTGGCGTACCCCGTCAGAAACTACCGCATCAAATACAGAATAGGTTAGGGCCTTCTCTGACAGTGCTCCAAAATGGCTTGGCACCACCAGGACTACACCGTCGCCGTGGCCTGGAAAAACCGAGCCAAAGCCCTTACCAGGATCAGGTGTTCCCTCCCCCCTGACCTCCGGCCAACTCGCATCAGAAGAAGGAATGACCCCAAACAAAACTTGCGATGTTCGTTCCTCCCGACGGCCAGTATCAAAAGCATCGGGCTCCTCCCTCCCTGCCACCGTCGCCGGCGACGCCCGCAGGCTATCCAACGAGGCAACCAGAAACTGCACCACATCCCCCTCCTTCGCGATCTCCGACAGATCAGTCGTGAGGCGCCCATCCTTAAACCGTACAGACCCCAGACCAGCCTCATCGGACGCGCACGCCATCAGCTCACCTCCCGCATCCGCGCCGCCCTCCTTTGCCGCTGGACAAGAGCCCGAAGCCATCTCTTCGAAGAAGAGTTCGGGGACGGGACGACCGCGCCCAAAGCCCGCAGCGGCCGCGTCTCCGCCGGTCTGATAGCTGTATTCAGGGTCCAGAGATAGAAGCCCTTGCTTCTTACCCCACCCGCCTCCGCCGCTCAAGACACGGTGGAGTCTGGTGCCCCCGTTGATGGCGGCGAGCGGATCGACAGTAGATCCAGCACTGGCCCCACAGGTGCTGCTGTTGGGATTGGCATATCCATTTGCAGACACAGACGTGCCTGAAGCAACGAAAAGTTCGGCCCGCGATGCAGCCGGCCGCACTGAAGCCCAGACGGCCACTCGCTGGTTCTGCAAGTTGTTTGCTTTGAGGTAGGCTGGCAGCGCTTCCTCCAGCTCGGCCGACGCGTGGATCGTCGTCGAGCTGGATCTGTCGTCCTTGTTGCGGCGGAGCTGGCTGATAATATTCCCCATGCTCGTGACTATCTCCCGCGGCCTCGTAACTGGGTAGAGGGGCAAGCGTGCAGTGACAGTGTGAGGTTCCGTTGCACGTTCGATCCGGCAGTTAAGGAGATCGTATTCCTTGTCTAGCGTTAGGGTAGTTGAGGTAGGGTTTGGGGAGGGATGCGACCTGCAGCGCCAGCGCGAAGCAAGCATGGTGCGTGGTTTGCCATTGAGGAAGAGGGTGTTGGCCAGTCGAACACCAACTTCGGCGAAGGTGGCTACAGCCGTGGAAGCATGTTTCGCAGGTAGTTGGCGATACAGGTAGGATAGCGTAGGCTCCGTTTCAGGAGTAGACATGTCTCGTCTTTGTAGCGAGTGGGCCACCTTAGCGGCCAGAGCATCGCTGTTCGCGAGGAAGAGAGATACCCCTTCGCACCCAGCTAGTTCATCCCGGCCTCCTTCCCTTTCCGGTGGAAGTGATGTTGTGCTGGGAAGGGGCAGTTTATCCACAACCGCTGCCACGGAATAGACGAAGCTGACCTCCTCCCCACTGGAGGTCGTGTGCGGCGTATTCTGGAAAATGTGCGTAATCGACTCACATAGAAACGAGTGGGGTTGAACTATCCAAGAAGCGAGCGCGGGCGTCACGGCCAAGACGGGGATCGTGCGGGAAATGTTGCCATTGCACGGGGGGGTTGGTAATTTCGATATGATATCCGATGGCAGCTATATTCGCACCAGAGTTAAAAGAGATTAATAGAGTAAAATTTAAAAATGAAATAAATAGACTGACCACCCGCGCCGGATCCCGTATAAACAAAGAAGCACTCCTAGCATCCACCCCCGTAGTCATCCGCGCCTCAGAACACAAACCCCGCCTTTTCTGAAGCGCATATCCATATCCATAGCCAGAACGACGACCACGAATATGAGCTTGATCACTCGCCCTCGGTATTAGCCGTGTCCACATCCCTAGCACCCCACTGCTCCCGCTGCTCCTGCTCCTGCTCCTGCTCCTGCTCCTGCTCCTGCAGCGGCAGCTGTAGCTGTCGCCCCGTACGCAGAAGCCCAATTGCGAAACTGCCACGGCAGTACCCTTATAGAGCAGCAAGCTACCGCCACCCAAGCGCTGGGGAGTCACAGCTCGGCCAGAGAGGCATTGTGGGAGGAGCGTGGACATGTAAAAGGGGGAGACGCGTGGGAGGGGTTCTCTGATTCTTGCAGCTGGATTGTGTGGAATGCAAGACAAGTTGTGGGCGGTGGCACCCAAGGGAGTTGGTTCTGTAGCTGGATTTGACAATGCCTGGGGTTAGTTAGCGTTCGTGCCAAGCCGTGGCGGTCTTGGATATTCAGATCTTGTCATCGTTACTACTCCGTACTCCGTAGTTAAGTAGAACTTGTGGCCCTGTTGGACCGTGCTATAAAGTATCGATGATACCGATAAGTTGTAGATTGAATTCCAGTGGGGGTTCAATGGCGGTGGTTGTAGATAGTTAAACTAGTAATGAAGGACAAGGTATCAACCCAAATCGAGCTACATCGCGCGCAATTCTCCTGGGACACAAACAACACCAACACACCTTGGATGAGCTGTTTTGTGGGCGATAGATGGTTTCATCAGACACCAAGGTGCAACTCATTAGCTATCACTGCGAGGTATGGCGACTTGCGAGGTTGGGGAGGAACTACATCGTGGGCGGCTGTATAGTAACTTGGTAACTGTAACTACAGCCTTTCTCTACGTATAAACGTTGAACCCATTCATGGTTTTATTCCTTCGAATTCGAAACACGCCAGAAGCGGAAGAGAAGCCTAGGCCAGGCAACAGTCTCGATTGATCCTCAGCCTTTCTCGTCAGCGAGTTCTGCTCTGCTCTGCTCTGCTCTGCTCTGCTCTGTTCTGCATCCGCCTTCACCGTCGCCGGATGACTCGACGCAACGTCGCACGGCAGCAACCGCTGACGTTGGCTGGGGCAATCACCACCATCATCCTCGCCTCCGCGTCGGATGATCAGGTTCTCAGGGGGATTGGTATATACCATTGCATGTGTATGCGCTACAAGAGAGACAGTGTACTCCGTAGAATACCAGTAACTCCAATCACGCCGTGGAATGAATGAATGAAGACTCCGTAGTCTGAAATCTGCGGCCAGAATCAAGGCTCTGCAGGGCTGCGCCAACTAGCAGAGGATGACGACGGTGTTTGTCACCAAGCGCAATTTTTCGCAAGGTCGACTTGGAAGAAAAAGAAATTCCTTGTTCTCCTTGTCATTGCTGGGCCCCAGGGCTTGTTCGGCTATCCCGCTGCCTTCTTCCTGCGCTGTCTTTCCCGGTTTCCTTTAAATAGCGGACTTTGCCTCCTCCCGTCGCCCTGTTTTCCTCTTTTCTTCCGCCACGCTTCTCAAGTTCTATTTTTCCCCTCTCCACGACCCAGCGAAACACAGCAGGCGAAGGTTGAAACAGAAAAATAGTACAAATCCCACTCATCGCCGTCGTCGCACACCGCTGCATCCTTGTCTGTCTGCCAGCAGCCCCGCCACCATGCCGTTCACTGCATCGTGAGTGTTTCCTCCTCCTCCCCGCTCGCTTCTGGTTCTGTCTGTCCCACAGCTATGAAAAAAAAAAAAAAAAAAAAAAAAGAAAGAAAAATATCAATAAATTTAATAAATTTAATTAATTGGAATATCTACTTGTCTGCTAACATACACCGTCCAACCCGTATACAGCGACATCTGCAAAATCATCCTCGCCATCATCCTGCCTCCATTGGGCGTCTTCCTTGAACGCGGCTGTGGCGCAGATCTGCTCATCAACATCTGTCTGACCATCCTGGGCTACATCCCCGGCATCATCCATGCGCTGTAAGTTTCTTGGCTCTTGGCTCGTTCTCTCCGATATATCCGTATAAATATATATATCCATTTATCCATGAATATATGCGACAACACCACCGCTAACCCGCTCCCCTTTCCTCGTGCAGGTACATCATTCTCAAATACTAGTGCTCGCCGTGTGACGGCGTGATGCTGTCTCCTCCGGCCGGTTGAACCGCATCGCATCGCTTCGCTTCCCTTCCCTTTCTTCAACCCCATTCCCGATCCCATCTTTTTCCCTTTTTCCCTTTTCCTTTTTCGCACCTGGCTGCTCAAACGGCCAGCATCCCCACGGCAATGAAGGCTTTTCCTGACGAATCCGTTTGCGGCCTCGGTGGGGCTTTCGATTCTTGAAACAGCTCTCCCCCGTTCCTTTGTCGTTCGATGTTGTGTATTTCAAAGCAGTGGTGCGCCACACCCGAAACCGAGGTTCATGGGCGGTGGAGGAGAGGAGAGGAGAGGAGAGGATAGGATGGGATAGACGCTTGATGGGAAACGTGTCTCTTGCGGTTTTTCTCTTATCATTGTTCATATCACGAATTGCATCGACTATGATCTCCCCCCTTTCCCCCCCCTTTTTTGGTCGGGGCGGTGAAATGACTATGTCCTTGTTTTCGAACTGAATGTATATTATTTCCCTTTTGAGTTCTTTTTCCCTCCTTTTTGTTTTGAACGGTCAAAACTTTTCCTCTTTTCTATTTTCTACGCCTCAATGATACCAGTTCTTTCCTCTCCGTTCTCCGTTCCGTTCACCGTTCTACCTGATATTCTAAGAGCGTTATGTTAGTTTACCCAAGTCTTTTCCTCTTTCCGTTTTTCCAATTTTTTTCCATCTCCATCCAACTG